GATAGATAGATAGATAGATAGATAGATAGATAGATAGATAGATAGATAGATAGATAGATAGATAGATAGATAGATAGATAGATAGATAGATAAACAAACCCATGTGGTACTGGTAAAACACCAACAGGGGGCAGTATAACACTGATTTAATGTTTTTCTTTTATTGATAAAACGTCATAAACTCCCAGGAGAAACAATCTTTATTTCTTTTATGGTAAATAAAAACGATTGTTTTTAACTGAAGTTCTCCTGTAAATCATTTAAAACTCAGATTTGATATGCTTTTATAACACAGGAATTAGCAGTATGTTGTATAAGTGAAAGAGACAAAACAAACCAAGCACACATTATCAGTTAATATTTTAGTCTTTTTTACCACAATAAAATGCAAACAGCGCTACCCTCTGTACATGACAAAAATCATAAAATCTTGCAAACTGAATAAATCCCCTGATACATAGATGGGTAGATAAATAAATAATTGTCCCATTTATATTCAGCATTTTTTGTCATTTACAGTAATGAGCTAGAGTAATAAATCCTTTTAGATTGCTTTGATWATAAAATATGTGGTTGTCAACCTGAACAGAATGTTTTTCATTGAGTTTTAAAATTTGGGAAAAACAAAAAAACAGATTTGCTATTTGACAGCAGCACTACATCACAGTTAAAATGCTATTTGGCCCTTCAGTGGTTTTGGCTCTCAGTTCAAATCCAGACATGGCTGTTCCAGGAGCACCAGGAAGGCAAAATCATTATAAAAATGTTAAAGACAGAGAATAATCTCAGTGCAGACCTTCCAGGACTCTCCTTTTTGTAATAGATAAAGCCAGACTTTTAGTTCTGGTTAATGGGTTAAAAAGTATTCTCTGCTTCATGAATTCAAGTGTTATTGAAGTCAGACCTTACATTTTAAGTGCACAATTTAAAATAAATGAATAAATTTAAAAAAGTGCAAGAATCAGGCACTTCTTGCATGTACATCTATGCATTATAAAGTACTGACACTAGAGTAAACAGTTCTCTAAATGTGGTGGGGAGCTGCATTTTGGAACCAAAGTTAGTAGAAACAGTTTTGCTGTATTGTTGATATCATGTAATTTTTAAAAGGTCACGTAAGTTCAGGTTGGATCAGGGAACCGACTTGGAAGACCCTGCAAACAAAGCCCTACAACTTTATGCTTCTCAGATGGGTGGACATTACTCATAGAGACACACACAGGTGCCATAAAAACTGACATGGTTGACACAGCGTTATAATGGCTGACACGACTGGGAATACTGGTTGTGCTCAACAATAGTAATACAAAACACAAGATGCACAGCACTTCATTTTTATAAAGCAATGCATAAAGATGAATTCTGAGACAAACATTTTAATAGCACTTTAAAATAAGTACACCTTATTTAGACTACCTAATCACGGTTAGTTACAGAATTGTAAAATGACTAAATACAAAAACTTTGTTACTGTACTTCAGTATAATTTTTGGACATCTGTACTTTACTTGAGTAATTATTTTCAGCTTACTTTTTACTTCTACTTCTTACATTTTCACACAATTATCTGTACTTTGTACTCCTTACATTTATAAAAAAGGCAAGAAGTAGAAAGTCGTTACTTTTATTTCATTTTTACTTGTTTTCCTTCCAGCTTGTTATTGCACAAAATAAACACTATCTATACAAACTGTGCCTCCTATATAGAGTGAATTTAATTGTGGTTGAATTAGAAGTATTAATATATAAAATTATCATACATTATTTGTTTGTACACAAACAAATCATGTCACACTACAGCAGGACTTGATCCTTAAAATAAAAGGACTGTACTTAAGAAGTATTTGTATTTCATGAATTATATTTTTGCATTTGGCCACAGCCCTCTGATAGATTTTCATTTTGGGGAAAAGGTTTGGTCACCCTTGATATATGTGTATAAACTGAAACAGCTAGACTAGTGCATCCTAAATTTAACATGAATTAATCATTTTAATATGACAGTCATTTCTACATTATTTTGGGGAGGTCACCTCCAAATAAATGTCATTACATAAATGCTCATTTAAAATCAACACTATTACTTTTAATACTTAAGTACAAAAACTATCAGATACTTTAAGACTTTTACTCAAGCAATATTCCTAAAGGAGAATTTAAATTTTACCAAAGTAATTTTTTGGTAAGATACTTGTACTTTTACTCAAGTATCACTTTGTGGTAATTTATACAACACTGGTTAGTTAACCTTGAGATGATTCATACTTATTAAGCCCTAAAATAACACATTTATTAATGCTTTACCCATAAAGAATAATTACTTTTAAAACCAACATACTCATTGTTTACTTATGTTTAATAACTCACTAAAAAATATTATATATAAAGTGTGTATAAGTATATTTAAATGCTCATTTAAATGGACTTTCACCACCATGTGTTAGACATGCATTATCATTAGAGAACATTTAAAATGATCCTCCACTAATCCTGCAGTGCATCATTAGTTAAAACAGTTCAGTCTTTTTTTAACCTTTCTAAAGTGAAAACTATTTATGTTTTTTAAACTATTTGTTAATGTAGACTACCGTAAACCCTGAAGAGCCACAAGTTCCTGTTCACCTGTGGATCTCAGTCCAAAATCATATTAAATTCAATCATTCTCTAACCATCAATACATGTCCTACACATGGGGTAGAAGTACATTTTTATGATCATTTCCATACATATACCCACAGTATAGTTAAGTCATGAGTTATTAAGCATGAAAGATATATATATA